CTTCTTGTTACATTGCAGCCAAACAGAGGATGGGCTTTTAGTTTAACCCTCTTCAAACTCAAGCAAGGACACATTTCAAATAAATTTCAGGTCTAGTTGTTGCCATCAGGAGATGACATAGACGATGTTTATCTTGTCATACCTACCTTATAGTATGTGTCGATGCCAACACGGTGGTGGTATTGAATTCACGTGAATACAACAACCACAATTGCAATTTAAGGTGCAAATCAAACAGAGCCGCCATCATTGATGGTCGTCACTTTAGAAAAGTAGGTAGGTAGGTACTAGCAGGGCATTAACGTACCGGTATGTGATGCTAGGTACCTATAGGTACTCTGTCAGGCTGTGTTTAATTAGGTACAGTGAGTCGGACGTGACCATCTCGCATCTTTGGGGCACGCTGCTGCACGCAGACCTGAGGACCTGAGGTACCTACCTAGGTAGGAACTTGGAAGGCAGCCTAGGCTGCCCGGCCTAGCCCACTGCCCAGCCTAATCGTCAGAGTTCGGGAGGAATGTAGGTACCTGGGTACTCACAGTTGCGTTTTCTGGTACGTAGGAACAGGCCACTGTACTAGGACTGTACCCAAAGTGCCGTCACGGTACGTAGCAGCAGGTACCTCGTACTTCTGTATCGGGAACTAGGTACCGGTATGTAGTATGCACGGTAGTTTGTAGGTAGGTACCTAGGTACTGTAGGTACCTCAACCGCGTGCGAAGAATCCCGAGTCCAGAGAGAAGTAAGTGCCGCAAGCTCCATGTCGGCCAATGACAAGTTCTGGTGGCGATTAATCAGTCGCGAAAAATGGCAATGCGCAGCTCCATTGCGTCCGAGATATTTGTACCGATCTAGATACGAGCCGTACGAGGAGCCCGGTGCACGCTGTGACCCAAGAAATTTCAATTCGCCGGGCACAGCTGCGGGTATTATTCTACTCAGTAGGGTGCCCGGTACAGCCGAACCGGCGATTGTAGAAGTTTTGCAACCTGTTGCAACTGCTCCGGCTTCGGATTCCTGGAGAGTTACGGAGTTGCAACTTTAAAATTTCTTTCCTGAACTGTCGCTCAAGTTTTAATGTTGAACGGCAATGGATTGTGGAGGCGGAAACGGGAGAGGACGTACAGGGGTAATACAAGGCAATGCCACGCGCCTGACGGCGTTTGCTGGCATTGCCAAAAAGCTACTTCAGAGATTCGCTGATTGGCATCCGGCTGCCCTTCCATTTGTCCTATTCTCGGTACTCGGCACGAAGACAAAACTGTTTTGTCCACCTCGTTGCGCGCCGCGCGCGCCGCGGATTCGTTGACAGCGGCTACGAAACCGGTAGGTGCTACTGCCACTGGCCCCCCAGTACAGAGTTTTTGCTTCAAGTTGAACCGGGTTGCTCGGCTTGAGAGAGGTGAATCCAGTGAAGCTCGCGCAAAAGCACAAGCCGGCGCGCTTGGGCATGTACACATTTGAGATTTCTCCATCAACGGTACAGAGAACGTGCAAGCATCCTGATTCGCCATCATTGAAGCGCACTTGATTGTCAGAAGTTGAAGCGTCACAAATTTTTACATGACAATCGTACGGTAGAAAGACCCACCGGCCTGACCATGACCCGGGGGCCGGAAGGTGTAATGTGCCCGGGCTGGCCCCCAGTAGAGCCTGGGGGGAGTCGAGCACGGGCCCCGAGCACTGCGGGTTGCTATAGCCTATAAGGCATTTTAATTGATTGAGAGTGGCGAGGGGCTCGTACCGGGAACTAAACTAAGGGGTCGGTACACCGAGAGGCACGAGTACCGCCCATCCAGATCTGCCGGGCAGCCTCGGCGTCCAACGGCGCTCTGGCCCTGCCGTTCAACACGTTCTGAGAGTACGGCCGGTACAGACTGAGGGTTGCGCACTGCGAACGTCGATTCCCGAACAGCTACCGTACGGCGTACTAGGTGCAGGAGGTACAGGTAGCATGCGCACGGGTGTACCTACCGTATCGATATTCTGCATTATTTTGCTCCATGATGGGTACCTACCTATCGTAGTCGGGACTTCGTACCGGTACTGCACCAACTGGTTCCTGAAATTCCAGTGAACCCCCGACTTCAGTTCCGAGGACCCCCGACTTCTGTTGCCAAATTGTGAACGGTCGGAACTCAAAACAGGGGCCCCGGGGCCCGGCTGCCAGAGCCCGGGGACTTCGTTCAGCAGCGGCGCGGAAGCTTATCATTTACCTGAGGAATATCTTGGTGTCAGACAGTCAGAAAAACAGTGGATGATGAGCTCACATGCAGCGAGCTCAATACCTATGTACAGTACCTAGTCCTAAATTCACCAAGGTTAGGGGTTGAGGGAACATCCGTACCAGGGTTTCCCACGGACTTTTGTCCCGGCCGGCCAGCTGCCGGCACCCCCCCGGTTCTGCCGGCTGGACAGTCGGTGAATGGCTTAACCGGTCGGCCGTGCCCAGCAAGCGCCTGCATTTTCTGCCGGCTGACCAGCCGGCGGGGTGCCTTCGGCACCGGCCGGGGTCCCATCTCGGCCGGCCAGGTCCAGGTTCTCTTGCCGGCTGTGGGAAACCCTGATCCGTACTCAGGATACCGGCTTGAGACCGTTCCGAGCTCATCGTCCCAAATGCAGTGGCCTGCTTTGTGCCGGGGAGTATGCAGGGATCATCTGAGAGTTGAAAGATTGCTTGCACTGTGAACGTCAGCTTTAGGATCAAGAATTGGCCCCTCACGCCAACTTATGCAGCTCGCAGTCATTTCATATCCATCCCCAGGTGCAGCTCCGGAGCCCAAACGCCATCGCCTTCCAGGCACTGCAGTCCGGCATATAGAAGCACACAGGCTTGCGCCTTTTTGCTGCACAAACTGTCGGAGGGTTGAGGCGCCGCCAATTGCTGGAACCCAGGTAAGAAGGATCGGGCGCTAATGCAACTTGGACATCTTTGAAGGTTCTTCCAAACGTGAAAGTTGTGTCTCAAACTTCTTGCTTGCTTTGGTCTAGGCAATGCAGGATCTGTTTGGTTTCGATTCTGTGCAATGCGGAGTCTATCCTTGAGCTGCTGGATGGACAATGCTGCCACTTCTGCCAAACGTATGATCTGGATCAAAACAGATCACAGTGGATAAGGGGACAATGTACTGCTATAAATCATCAAAGCTGGCTTGTAACTTTGTGGAGATTGAATGTGTAACCCAGCTGTGCGTTCTTGTTATTCAGCTGAACATTTTGGAAGAATGTATTCAGCACGCTCTTTTGAAGAATTGATCCTTTGCGCATTTTCAGAACTGTGTCTTTCTTGCAATGCTGTAAACCAGCGCCGAATCTGCTGCAGCACTCCTGGCCTTATCAATGACATTTAGATTCTGCGTTGAAAAGGAATCCAGTTTCTAAATTGCAGCCACTTTAGCTTGAAATCTTATGTCATCAAGTGAATCTCCTGGCGCTAGAGCACAGATGGACCTAAGACTGCAGAGTCTGTCATGTCTAGAAGCAAGGTTCCACCTTTTTTTTCGGTCTGTCTTTACGATGACTTGCAATGAAACACCATCTAGACATCTGAAATCCTATACCTGCAGCACCTGACTTTACGTTGATAAGGAAGGATGAATAACACCCTTGGCAAGTCTTAACTCCAGGGTAGTCTTAAGCAAAGGGTCGCAAAGTATGTTCAATACCTGTCATTGACACACTGCATTGTTCTTCGTCGCGTGTCTCTGTTTTCTATTATTCTTTGGCTGCTCTCAGAAAACTTGATCTGTGGCGCTGACAGTCGATTCCAGTATGATCAGATACATGTCAAGATCTGCATCTTAAATTCTTTTGTCCTGGACTGACTGTGAGTCCATCTTGTCTTCGCAAGAATGTGAACATAGCTTGTCGCTTCTACTTCTGTGCTTTCTCCGTGACTATTTTTCACATCACCCGATGTCGACATCCGGCGGCATCATGTAAGCTTCATTGATATTCATTGTACCGCGCCAGTCTGCAACTGCATAACAACATCAGCCCTTGTCCTGAATGCAGGTACCTCCGGAATTCCTACGCTGAAGGGAAGGCATACACCAACATGAAGTTCTCCAGGAGGTGAGGAGAAAGAGATGTCAAGACCGGATCTTTCGCAGGCTGATGCAGAGTAACAGAGGTGCATTTTGAGCAGGTGCAGTGCGTTCGGACAACATGGATCTTTATCGTCATTTTCACGTAATGAAAATGTAGTTACTAACAAATTCGCTTTGCTGCCCTTCCCAGCCGATCGATGGCCACTGCTGTGGTGGCGCTCACGTGCCTCTTCAGCCTGGCCGCCGCAAGGCCGCTTGATGTCTCCAGTAAGTCCTTCGTCATTGCTTTCAATCATCTCTGTGCGCTTTTTTTCACGTTCTCCTGAGTTGCCACTCCTCCAATGCGACTGTCCCCACACTTTGCACCGTTCAACTTGCATATCACTCTGAAGAACAATTTGTGGTAGGCAATGCGTGTTGCAACTGAATGCACAGTGGATAGCAAGGCAGAGCGCATTCCGTTAGGTTGCAAAGCACCTCATCCCGCTCCTTTCAACATCTGTACTCCACATTGACATCAGCCTAGAGCGCTTTCCAGATGCTTCAGATGCTTTCAGAAGACGCTATGAAAGTAACTCCATACCAGCCTGTCCAGTCAAAAAGTTCGAAAAGGTCATTGCCAGAAGCTACAGATCCCAAGCAGGTTTCGTGTTCCTTTCCTATCAACGTCTGCCAAATGCTTCCAATTGCTTTAGCTAAGCACAAGACTTGTCTCTCTGCAGGCTCCCGCCACCTCCTGCAAGACGGCGTCTGCCCTCCTCAAATGACGCAGTGCTTCACCACCCCTTACCAGGCCCAGTACTTCTGCTGCGACTCCTCAGCCAATCTGCAATGCTCTGGCGGCCCCGATTTCCAGTGCTCGTGAGTTTCTGCTGCCTTCATTCAAAGCACTGCCTTTCATCGAACGAGCTGAGCCAATTGTTTGGCCCTCAGGTTGCCTCAGGTTACTATTCTTGTCGATAGGGGACAGGACCTCAGCCACATAATTCTTTGCAGTCGGTCTCTCAAGAGAAACGGGTGTAAAGTGCCTGCCTTGCCGTTAAGGACCACCGCAAAATTTGACAAAACTTTTGCCTGGCAGCCTCCTGAAAGGTCCCTTACAGAATGCATGAATCCAGTCGAAGTTGCAAGCCCAAGCCGTTCATGCTGTGCGCTTTGATTCTCACCTCCGAGATGTCTGTTCTGTCCCACTGGAACTCCTATCGATCAGAAGCCGTCTGAGATCCGGGACTCAACGTTTCTTCCGCCTCTTTGTGCAGAAACTACATCGACTCCAGTGCACCTCTGGTGCCAGCATCGTTGATCCCAGTGGTTCCGGGACTGGCAACACCGGCGCCTACCGCTGCTGCAAGGGCGGCAAGCGCCTCGATCCCCTCTCCTACAGACGGTCCCAGCAACCCCTCTCCCACAAACGGCCCCAGCAACCCATCTCCCACAAACGGCCCCAGTAACCCATCTCCAACAAACCCCCCCAGTAATCCCTCTACCACAAACCCCCCCAATAACCCGGCTCCGACAAACCCCCCCAACAACCCGGCTCCGACTAACCCCCCCAACAATCCGGCCCCTACCAACCCCCCCAGTACCCCCGCCCCCGCACAGGACAGCTCCTCTGGCGGAGGCGGTTTCCGCCCTGGTTTCGCTACCTGGTACACCGATCCCAACAACGCGAACTACTTCCGTGAGTTTTCGACATGAGACTATTCTGATCTCCATTTTCAGCACCTTTTCAAAGTTCCTCTTTCGATGCTTGTTCAAGCGAAAGTAGCCTGCACATTGCAGAACTCGACTCTCTCCAGTCTCCTAGAAACGTCAGGGGAGCTCAACCAACTCGTTTGGCTGCAACGACCACATTGCGACTGAGCTTATCATCTATGAAGATCTCCAGACCCTCCAGTCGTCGACCTTCTACGTCTTCAGATTCAGATTTTCAAAGCCGCTCACGTCAAAACAAACTCGATCGCGGCCTCATCCAACATTTTCACCTTTCCCCCTTCCTTCCCAGGCACCGCTTGCTACAAGCGGTTTGCGGGTTGTTAGCAAGCGCCACGATCATGTTGTTGGCCGCTTGCTAACAACCCTCAGACAAGCCGGACAGCAACATGATCGTGGCGCCTCCCCCTATCTTTCGACTTCCTCAGACTCACCTTCCGAAGCACCTTATTTAGGAGCAAACCGGTCGACCAGTCCCAATGAGACATTCTCTCTTTTCGCTCTTGTCTTCCCAGGCACCGCGTGCTACTACAACCACCCGGAGAGCAAGCCGGCCAACACCATGATCGTGGCGCTTCCCCCTTGCTTTCGAAGCACCTTATTCAGAGCGAACCCGTCGACCCGTCCGATTCAACATTCTCACCTTTCTCTCTTCCATTCCCAGGCACCGCTTGTTACTACAACAACCCGCAGAACAAGCCGGACAACAACATGATTGTGGCCCGCTCCTCTAGCTTTTCGAGTTCCTCACACTCGAGTTCCCTTGCACATAAAACCACTTCATTCCGACGTCCTCACCTTCTCTTTCCCTTCCCCAGGCACCGCATGCTACTACAACAACCGGCAGAACAGATGGACAGCAACATGATCGTGGCGCTCCCCCCCCCACATCTTCAAACTATTTCAGCTTCAAAACCCGAAGGCCCTCGTTTCGAACGCCTTCTCATTCCACTTCTCACCTTTTTCTGTTCCGCCTCCAGGCACCGCGTGCTACTACAACAACCCGGAGCAAAAGCCGGCCAACAACATGATCGTGGCGCTGCCCCCCCACATCTTCGGAGTTGGCCCCGGCGCGGGCAACGGCCCCGGATGCGGCACCTACTGGGAGGTCAAGTGCGTTGGCACTCTCAAGCGGATCGGCGACGGGCTGTACCCGGGTAACGAGCGCGGGGCGTGCGCGACGGACAAGTCGATCATCGTCAAGGGCGGGGACTTGTGCCCGGTGAGTCGTCCCGAGGGCCATCGTCATGCTTGCGTTAGAGGCTTTTTAAGTCTTTTCTTTAACCCAAAAACCGTAAGTTCAAAAGTTGATGCTAAGGCCGCTTCTCCAGTGCGTGTCTTGGTTCGGGCTCGCATCAAAGTCGGCTTTGATATCCCTTGGGGAGAGACATGTCTTTGCAGAAGAACAAGCCCAACTAGGAGTTTGATTGGCGGCCTTTGCCGGGGCCTGTTAGCCTGGATTCAGTTTTCGCTGGCAGAGACCCGAGAATTTCGAGCCTAAGCGAACTCTGCTACATTGTCGGGCCTCGTTAGATAGGACTAGGTGAAGGATCCAGAGTGCCGATGTTCTTGAGGGTTAGTGATTCAAGAAGAGACTGGCCATTGGCACGCACGCACAAGGCCCTGCTCCTATGCGCTACTACCGTCTTGGCCTCGCGGACTGGGGCTAGACCTTCTGGCGCGTGCGATTTCTGGGCAGTGCTTGCTCTCAGAGGCGAGCTTAGTCAGCGCTTGGCAGCCGGACCTCAAAGCAGCCCTTGAAGATCTCGCATCCATCAGTGATGCTTCTCTTTCTCATCCTTCACACTGGCTACTCCTATTCACTCTCCGCAACTCACAGATTCCGACCTGGATTACGAGAAATGCCTACTCAGCTTGCGCCCGTTGTCCCCCCCTCCTCAAATCTGCTTGTCTCCCGTCCTCAGGAGTGCGATGAGCCCCGTAACGACATCTGCCAAGCGGCGGACCAGCCTTACTGCCCCGGGCCCGGGGGTTACAGCTCAGGCCAACCGGGGGAGCATTTGGACCTGGCCCTGGCAGCTTTCCAGGTCATCGGGAACAACCCCCCGGTCACTGGGATCATCAAGATCCTCTTCAGACAGTGAGTCGTGCGGCCCTTCGCCCTGTGTGCAGTTAGTAATTTGGCTTGCTACTTCGCAAGAGTGGCCAGACTTCCGCGTCTGGAAAGCAGTCTTACTGAAGTCGTGAGCCGTTTACTGGAAAAGGAAGGTCGGCTCTAATTGTTTTGGAGAACCACTCCGCCGAGCTTTATCCTATCAGACTAGCCTACCATCTGTCCGTTGGATTAACCGCAGAGGGTGGTAAATGGTCGAGCCTCTTTCTTCCGTCTTCGAACTTCGCTGCAACTTTTCTCAGGATTGGGCTGTGGACCAGTGCCAAAACGTGTGCTTTTTATGAAAGTTCAAGGTCGCCAAACTCTTCTGATGCCTGCAGGGTTGGCGCCGTCCCGGACAGCCAGCTGGGCGTACCGTTTTAAGCGCTTACCGGCTATTTATTACCGCCCTGTCGCTGCACTTTCAAAGATGACACTTGCAGAGCAACGGATGAGCTATTATTGGTCTCTTCTCGAGACTCGCTTAGCGCACGCCGGCTAGATACTGGGTGAAGAAAACCGAACGGTGAACAGCAATTTATTAGGGCGTCGATGTTGGGTCCAAGGAGCGTGCCACAAACGATGACATTCTTTACGAGCAAGCCAGCAACGTCTTGATGCCGAGAACGGCTTTGCTTGATGGGCGCACCGCGATTAGTTTGTGCAATTAGATTCGTCAATTAAGGGTCAACTTTATCGTTGGCATCCGCAGACGGTGCTTACAGTTTTCTACTGCCTATTTATGGGGGCCAATCGTCTCGGGAACAAACAGATTACAGCCGTTTATTACTATTCGTCAGAGTGGAGTACCATTACTACGGACCATTATTGGACAGCAAGGTACATTACACAATTAGCATTAATTAAGGACACGAAATCGACAGACGCGTCACGTCGGTCATGGATTGTTATTTGGTCTAAGGACACATGAGAACGCAGAACGTCGTAGGTCGAAGTAAATAAATTGGGATTGCCAGGCGGCCTAGCTAGGTAAACACAGAAGCCTAAGCGATCGCGCGCGGCCTAAGTAATTGCAAAAGCTCTGCTTGTGTTCGCTAGCTGAATCTCTGGCTCGATTGTCAATCAGATATGCGAGTCGAGTTGCAAATATAAGGTCATTGCTTTTGTTTTCGCGGATCCGATGCCAGCCTGCCTGTTTTGTCCCGTAACTTTACAGTCTCTAGCTTTACTTCCATTTTTGGCTTACTTCCGCTCATTGCAGACGCTGACAAGCGCGTGTGGTCTAATTTACACAAGGTATCCTGGAAGCTCTACCCGATCCTCCATGAAATTACGCCGCATATGGCGCTGTATTTAGGTAGTGTGAGATGCCGTGACCTGTTATTCGACCGGAGCGTGAGTCAGACTCACATGAAGCTTGCATATGCTGCATGTACGGCCTAGTTAGCTTGTAGCATACCGCTATAGCGCAGCTAGCTACATGGAGTCAAAGAATGTCTCGATCCGGACATGGCGAATTTCACGCGTCATGACGGTTTCCCAACTTTGTCTGACGTGAGCCAATGTTTGATTCTTGATACCATGAGCGTCAAATCCAGCAATGATTCCATGCCGCGGAGGGTGCTGGAACTTCCAACACATCAAGGCCAAAATCTACACTGGCACACACGCCATGCCGTTTCAGAGGCACCCAACTCAAGTTTCTTTAGGAACGACTTCCACTCAAGTCTGATCAATTACGTATTTGACTGCATCACTTACCAATGTAAGGTCGCGCTGACATTGAGCTTCGTACGGTTCTCTCCGTCCAGCACAGATATTGCTACTTATGCCTTGTCCAGGCAACCAGAATCTAACAGGAGCTTCTATTCTTCGTCAGCATTGACTGCCTATCTACCAGCACCTATAGTCAAAACTAATAACCCAATACAAGCAAGTTGCGCACTCAATCAAAGCCGGCTTTCCAATTCGGAAAAGCCGGGCACAGATGCGGCTTTTGTTATGAACCCGTTTTACCGGCCCCTTTATTTGGGGCGAAGTCTTCCAACTCGGCTCCCATAGCGGCTCGTAGTTTCGGAACTCGAGCAGCCTGCACGCAGAATGCATAGCTCAGTCCACGTCCACAATTTGTCTCCATTTGCTTCTGCTTCATCAATTGCTCGTTCTTCTAGCTTACTGGTCCTCCAATCGGCGCAGAAATACATACAGGGACCGGACCAGAAGCCCACATCTGGATTCATGGTTGAAAACGAAATTTTCGAAGTTCAAATGCAGTCGGGACAGAGGACTGAGAAGAGAAGAAAATGGAGAACGTCTAGAATATCCACACGACAAAAACGGTCCAAACGAAATTCAAGGCAGAAGCGAAAAGCAGCACAGCTTTCTGCGGCGCATCAACGGGCTGTACGAGGGAAACTGGTCTAAATAAAGATCTCAGCACAGTCATCAAGAAAGCGAACGCAGGCACGCTTGATAATGAGGTTTATTGCTTTAAAGCCTCTCGGAAGGGTTTTCCACGAGAATCTTGCAAACTCTTGAGTCTGGGACAATTGCGTGTGAAGACTCTTCACTTCAAAATGTACAAAGAGCGTGGGCGGTGTGCCAAGTTGTGACCTTTCTCTTCAAGAGACCTCTGATAAGCACGGCGCAGCGGCTACGTACCAACGTTTTATACAGCCGCGTGTAGCGCGCGCGCGTCCCGTCCGGCGTCCGCGCCATCGCCAGCTGGACCAGGTCCGGGGGCACGTGCCCCAGGGTGTGCTTAATCTGGTCCATATCCATCCCCCCCAAAACGCCGGGGACCGGTAACACCGCCACTTTCCCGTTCCCGCTCTGCACCGCCAAATCCAGCTTGTCGTTCGCGCCACACTTCACGACCACCGGCTCCGTCACCCCGTTGCTAAACTGGACGACGCTCCACTGGATCGCCTGCATCCCGTCCCCCCCCCGGGTCGGCTGCGGATCCTCCCCCCCGGCGGGAGTGACATCTGCGTTGTTCGCGGTGCTCCCCTCGGACGACGAGACCTCCGGGGGGGGGTCGGGCGCCGCGTCCGGGAGCTCCTCCCGCGCCGCCTCGATGCACTCGTCCACGACCGCGCGGTCGGCCGGGGCGAGGGCCCCCGACTGCAACACCAGCGTCTCCAGCTTCGCGCTCAGTGCCCGGTGGTTCGCCCCGGGGGACTGCAGCGCTTCCGTGACCACCGCCTCGAGCCCGATCAAGAGCTCCTCCAGCAGCGCGAGCGAGTCGATGCGCGTCTGTTCCGCGGAGACCTCGTCGAGCCGGCGCAGCGCGAGGGTCGCGTGGGCCGGGGGGAGGAGCGAGGGATCCCCCGCGATCTGGTGCCGGATGCGTTGCCGGCGGTGCTCGATGGTCTCGAGCCCCGCACGCAGGCGCGCGATTGCGGGCAGGTCCTCCGCCTCCTCGGACGCAAGCGTCCCCGCCAGGTCCTCCAGGTGCTGCGACGGGGAAAGCAGAAAACGTTAGCTATGACGTCAGGGGTAGGATCACAACATGAAGGCCTGGAAGCCGTTGTTTTTGGGTGGCAGATGGACAGAAAACTGCCTGATCCAGTAACGCCAACCCGTATTTACCACCGAGAATCCCGTGTCAACCATGCCCACCTCTAGTTACGCCTCATACGCCTCAAGGGCGCAGTTGCTCACAGATGTCCAAGCTCTTCTCTCAGACACTCGCACTGGCTCCACCTGGAAATGTTCAGCTTCTACCTCTCCAGGCATTCTTGAGAGCCGCCTGTACTGCTATTTTCCTCAAAGTGCAAGGGCAGGACATTACCACACCCACCTCTAGTTGCGCCTCGTACACCTTGAGCGCGTAGTCGCTCAGCAGCTGTCCGAGCGCGTCCGAACTCCCCAGCACCGTCACGCCCAGGCCCGCCATCCAGCCCTCCATGATGGCCGCCGTCAGGACGTCCGTTTCGGACGGCTGCCCGTTGAACCCGGTGATATTCAGGAACTCGAAGTGGTCCGCGATCCAGCTGCGCAGGCGGGACGTGAGCTCGCCCGCGAGCGTGTGCGCAAACAGGGCCGCCATTGCCTGCGGGGTTTTCAAATTCGGGGGTTTGGGGTTGAGGTTTGCGATGTGGGGTAGGGTTTAGGGTTGAGGCTTGCGATGTATGGGGTAGGGTTTAGGACTAGGTTAAAGGATTCTGAGACTTGTTGATGCCGGCGAGTGGTAGGTGCACGAGTTGGGTGCCATCGCTATGAAGAGGTGAAATGCGGCCCAACGGCCAGTGTGTGCGCAAAGAGGGCATGCCTCGCCTGCAAGGCTAGCAGATTTGTGTCGGAAAGGTTTCAGCCGTTTGATGAGGTAACAAGCCAGAGAATTGTAGGAATAGGGCTGGCGCCCGTCCTCGCCATTGAACTTTCAGACCTCACAGAAGTTTGAAGGCGTCAGGAGAGCCAGCAAATCAATGCCCCGTCAGGGGCGCCGTCGGCTGCGCAGGCGCTGAGGCGCTGTGGTGTCAAGTATCTGGGCATATTCCAAGATCCGCAAACATTCTTGAGGAAATTTGCCCCATCGTTTGCAGCAGCGGCAGGGCTCAAGAAAATATGCAACCAGATATTGAAAGACCGAAGCGTTGGCGAAATCACGATCTAGACTGTCAACATCTGCGGGACTAAGGGAGGCGATGTCGAACCAGACTCCTAGCCTGCTTACTCCGACCCCGGAAACCTGTTCGCTCGGGCCCAACCTGTTCACTCCAAAGATCCGGTGCCGCTACCGCACCTTCTTTTTGGTCGTGAGTTTGCACACAGCCTGCTTGACCTTCTCCAACTTACACAACCGGGAACTCGCAAGATCGCATAATCCTACACCCAGAAGGGGAAAAAACCCTAACCACTATCAATCACCCACCTTGTTTCCGGTCGCGTAGATGCGTGCGTCCTGCTTGACCTGCTCCGCCTTGCCCTCCGCGAGATGTCCCCCCTCCGCCTCCACCTTCTTCTCTCTGTTGAAGCCGAAGCTCTTCTTCTTCTTGAGCACCGGCCGCACATGGACGTCGATTCGGAAGCCCTCCGTCGGAACGAGCGCCCCTGCAGACGCTATTCGCAATCAGGCTCTTCCAATGTTCGAGTGCATGTTGCTGGCTACGCGTTTTTAGTGTGAAGGGAAAAAAACGATGATCTATAGACAGAGACCAAATTCATAACTCGTTTCAGCTGCCGGAATTTGGAAGTCGCATAAAGCTTGGGCTGAAAAGACTGTGAGCCACACATTTGACCTGCAATGATGATCCGTTGATTTGTTCTCATGAGAGCTTGTACCAACATCAGTGCTTGGGACATGGACAGACATCGGAGCAAAGTGGACCTCGTAAATGGGCCACTTGCTCTCTTCGAATTGACAAAAGTAGTACAGGATAACCTGTGCTGAAAGGCATCTTTCCAACCCACAAAACACTTGGACGCACCAGTGGGAGTGTCCGGCGTTCCCGCGTCGGCGGCCGAGAAGTCGGGGACAGCGAGGAAGCGCTCGAGGGGCGCCGCAGCCGCGTCTTTCAACTCGGGGGACTGCTGGATGAGGCTCCGGATGTAGAGGATGCGGACGCGCGCAACGAGAACCGTGTCGACGCCCGGGAGGGAGGCGACCCGTTCGAGGAACGCAAAAGTTGACGCTCGCAGCTCTGCGAAAAGATCGTTCTCAGAATTTTAAAGTCTCAGCCTTCCAAGAGGACGCACGCAAAGAAAATGATTTCCATGCATGAGATCCGTAAACGGAAGGCGAAAGTCAAAATGCATTCATGGAGGCGGGCTTGCGCCAAGGTACAAGAGAAGCAGGTCGGCTTGAGTGAAGCCTTCGAAAACGAATTGCGCATAGGCGTTGTAATGCACGCGTGCTCTTGTCAGCAGGCGAAAGGTAGATTATTATCCCCTTATCAAGTTGCGGAAATCCCCTGAAAGCAAAGCCTTAACTTGTGGATGAAATCTATCAAAAGGCGGGATCAGGCGAAATCTATCAAAAGGCGGATTCAGGCGACAGTGAGAATTCTGGCACTTGGAACTACTCGAAAAAAATCTTGAGATTGTGCAATCGGCACCTCGAAGTTTAGATTGGAGATCGACTATTTCAAGGGTTCCTACCATCAGCAGTTAGAAGCAAGAAACCTGTAATGGTTGCAAACGGCCACATCGTTTCGTTGTGTTTTGAAATGGCCGGCGGAAAATGGTTTGCTTATGAACACGAGCACAGAGGGATTTGGAAAAAGTTAAATAGTATCCAAAAGGAGGGAGCACGTTTGGTATCCAGACAACAGTGCCCCTCACCTGCGAGCATTTCGTGTTCCCGTGCACTCCCCGCCTTGATGACGGCCGCCAGCACCAGCATCAGCAGCTTATTCACACCGTCCGCCCGCTCCCCCTCCGTCCCAAACGCATCCACGTCGAACGAGTCCAGCTGGACGCACAAGTACTCGCCAGCTGGCGTCGTCTTTATCGTGCTCTTCGGCGCCGGCAAACTCTTCGCGCTCGCCGACGGCGTCAACGGCCGCCCCGACGACGACGCCACCGCCGCCTGCCGATCGTTACCGCTGCCGCTGCCGACACCGTTACCGACCTCTTCGAACTTCGTGTCCGACCCCTCGATGATCCGCCGGAGCTCGATCGACGACGGTCGATAAGACGGCCGGCCCGTCTTTGGGACTTCGTCTTTTGCCTCGCTTAGCCAGTCGCCGTCCTCCTGCTTGGCTTGCGACTCGGCCTCTGCTGCCGTTAAGCGCTCAAAGAGACGCTCGTTCTCTTGGTGAAGCCGTTCGATGAGCTCGTCCCGCTTCGCGAGCTCTTCGTCGAGCTTGGACTTGACGAGGTCGTCCGGGGGGGGTGGTTCGACGGTCTTTTTGGGGGGGCCGTGTAGGGAGGCCATGGCGAGGCACGTGGTGGCCTCCGCTAGTTGCGCCTCCAGCTGGGTGACTTGTTGCTGCAGGACGGAACATTTAGATCATCGAAAGGAGGAGGGAAGCAACGATCCACAAGCACAATGCATGAAGGCTGTAAGAGCGTCCGAGTATCGAGGACCGGTTCATCCGTGAAATCTGTCGAAGAAGACTCCGTTCACAGTTGCAAAACGATACCTTGCGCTTCAGCTGCGTGTCAGTGGCGGCTCCGAATCGTTGCAGAGCAAACTCTCCCAAAGATCCCCCCATTCCGTTTGGCAATCACCGTTCCATAGTATACTCAAGAGTTGAACTATTCGGCTCTTAGACCTGACTCAAGTGGCATCATCAGATTTTCCTTCCAGGTCTCAAGGCAGAATTCCCCCACCTGCAGCAGCACGACCTTGCGCTCCCGCACTGCCTTCTCCTGCGCGAGCCGCGCCGCGTGGCCCTCACTCATGGCCGCCAGCTCGTTGCGGTGGTCCTCCTCGACCTCCCGCTTCTGTGCGGCGATGTGCTCATACGCCGTCTCCAGCTGCGGGGGGGATCGTGCACTAATTGAAGAAGTGCCAGATATAAGTCGCATTGGAAATTTTAATTGAGCAACGCGACGTATAATTCTTCCTGGTTCCTTGTAGAAGAGTGCAAGCCCAGCTTTTAAAAGCACCGTCTCCGAATTCCTTGGGTGAGAATCTAACATCTCCTCTCCTGCTCCTCTCGAGCCCGCGGCAGCAATGCAGACAACATGTCTCCGTTCTGTGTCTTGAACAACAGACATGCGATGTAAAAAACAGAATGAATGGCCGTTTGTTCAAAGAAGAATCTTCCGCAAATGCTGCACTCTTCTTCCGGACCCTGATATGTCTGAAACGGCTTGAGGCGCATCTCAAAGCCGACACGCCAATCTTACAACACCCGCGAACCCTGTTGCGGAAACAGAGAGTCATAAGGCCCGCGATCCTCACCTCCCGTGCCTGGGCAGCCATCTGCGTATGAGCGCGCTCTAGCTCCCGTTGCCGCTCCTCGGCCCGCCGGTGGTCCTCCTCTAGTTGCCGCTTCTGCTCCGCGATGCGCTCGTGCGCCGCTTCTTGTTCCCGCTTCTGCTCGAACAGCCGGGCGTGGTCGCTCTCTAGGTACTCCTTCTGCTGGGAGAGCCGGTCCAGCTCCGCCTACGGGATTGGACTCATAAAAGTTAAATAATAAGCGGAGACTATGATAAAGTAAGCACGCACTGGAATGGTGGTTTGTGGATAGAATGGGTATGGCTGCGGAGCAGGAAGCTTTTGAAATAGGATTTTTTACGGTGGGTGGAGCTTAACGTCATCTTGGCTTATTATTCTTGAGTGTCATCTACGAGGGGACCAACTAACACGATGCCGCCCACATTCATGTAAATGAACCCTACAAGCATATTCAGATCGTGAGAATCAGGTCCCCGAGCAGACAAGGCGTTGCCAAATTGGAGTACGCTTAGAAAGAAAGCCGTTCAGAGCGAATTTCCTGCTCCGTTCGCCAACGCAATCAACTCTTTCAGATCACCAGCACTAGCTACACCACGAGAATCCCGCACAAGCACATGAAAACAGTGCCACCAAGGCAAAACTACGAAACAAACATCCGCGAATGATCGCTCTCCAGAAAAATCTTACGGTGAGAAAGCCTCCCCATGCAAAAACGGACTTAGCTTAACCATAAAGAGCAGGCCAAACGGGACTGTCAAACGAAAACGGAAAAATCAAGTGTTGGCACCAACCCGCATTTGTTCCAGCTCCTCGTCCCTCGCCCGCAGGTCCTCCTGCGCCTGTTGCAGCTCCGCTTGGCTCTCGGCGCCCCCATCGCTCCGCCGCAGCTCCAGCAACTCCCGCTGGAGCTCCTCGATCTGGGTTTCCTTCTGATAAAGCTCACGCTTCGCCTCGCTCGCCTGGAGGATAACCAGCAGGGTTAGGAGAAGGTTTGAGGAGACGTTTAGGAACCACGGCCAGAATGTGCCACGCGGATGGCCTACAGACCCGATCGGCTTGACGCTTTTTGATATCTGTCCAGAGGATGCCCCGTTCACGCTGACTTTGGACGATGCCCCCCTCCCTCGGTGCCCATTCTTTAACGAGGGACCACTATTATTACTATGATCAAGACCGTTCTGGACGAGGAATTTCACAGCTACCGCTTGGGAGACATGGATTCGAACAAGGAGCGAGGCAAGGAGCAAGGCAGGCTCCCGACAAGATTTCATCGGAGTGGAAAGTGGACCGAGACAAGCGTCTTTTGGTGGGAAGAAGTGAAATCGAAGGCACAGCATCCGGGCAGGCTACTGATGCTCAATCCTGCGTCCTGGACATGTTTGCAGAGATGATCACATCAACAGGTGCGGAGCACAGAGCGTCAGCAAGACTTGGAGCCCCACCATGTCCCGCCACTTCTTAGTGTTCTCCTTGTTCCCGAGTGTGAGTTCCACATTGCGCGCCCGCGCGGCGAAGCTCAGCGAGTTGGTCGTCTCCTGCACATCGGCCGCCCCTGGACCGACGTTCACCAGCAGCAGCGCCTTGGCCTCTCCACCTGCACGACGAGGGCAAGTTCGCACCGCTCATGTCTCAACCATGATGTCAATAAGCGCAGACGCCGCAGACACGATAGCAACACAAGAACGAGGTGAAGGAGGAGATTTACGGTGAGCGCTGATGACTTCGGTGGAAGTGACTTGTTGGAACTTATGCATGTGTAACAGGCAGTTCTCACGGAGACTGGCTGACAGGCCCGAGAAGTGTGCTTTGCGAAGGACTACCCTAGTAATGCCAGTGTAAGACCGAACAGTGTGCTTTGCAAGGACGAGCCTAGTGATGCTAACAAAAAAGCTCGCAGAGGACTATCCGCTCTTGAGCAATGGCGTATGGTGAACTTGAGCAAACCATGACAAAGTCTCGTCTCTGGATGTTCGCACGTGCACCTTTGAAACCAAGTGGAGGAAGGCGTCCCCGCCATATTCTTGTCGATTCCCGTCACCGAACGCGCCAATCTGATAGCACGCACTCAGTCACCAACGAACTTGCTTTTTGGGTCTTCATCCCTCAATCTCCGTTCGTCTGACATCCCAGAACTCAAAGACACCTTCAAGAAAGCCGAACACCGCGGACCCTCACCTAGGCAATCCGCCATGAGGTGCGTCAGCTTCGAGTTGGCGTACGGGATCTGCCGCTTCTGCGCCGTGAGCGCCGAGACCACGTCCCCGACCGCGGAGAGCGACCGGTTGATGTGCAGGCTCTCAGTGAGGCGGTCGCCGCTCGCTTCGCTCTTGCTCAGCCGCTCGCTCCCCGCCATGTCGACCATCACCAGCTTGCTCGTGTGCTTCTCGCCAGTGAAGATGTCTTGGTACGCCACGTGGACCATCACGATCCTGCCACGCGGTTCTCAGAATCAGAGGCGATCTTGATCGGAATGGGGTAAGCTTTTGCGCAGACTAGAAACAGACGCTCCAGCCATGCAATCCTGAATTTTAGGAACTCCTTGAAGAAAACATAGGCTTTTGTGCATCAAGGGGCGGAGCTTTCGCTCTTGAAAGTTACAGGCCATTGCGATCCGTTCGTAAACCTTCTGATTTGGTAGGCGAGCGGACGCAACTCAATAATGGAGAGTTCCGTTGGGGACCTTCTTGACAGACCTCGTAACCCAAAGCGCGTGCAAGCTTGATCCAGAGACGAGCGTTTCAGTGAAAAGAAGGGCCTGAGGGAAGACCGAATCAGGTTCAAAACACTGAAGACCGGAACAGGTTCAATACACCGAGGATGTAATTGCTGCAGCATAAGTGCGCGCTCACAGATGCGACTTGCTGCTCCGGTCGCCCGTCCTCCCGAACCCAGCCAAGCGCGCCTTGTTAGCGCTGCGTAGGATGTTTGCAAAATCCCCTGGCGCAGGCACGACCTCCTCAACCACGTCGGTCACGGTGACCGAGCCATCATTCTCGACCCGGATCTCGTGCTTCTCGGTCGAGGGCGAGTAGTCCGCGGTCGAGGGGCGTCGCCGCGCGAGGAGGTCCTTGATCTACAATTGACGAGAGGGGAGATAAGAGCTTATTGGGGGCCCGTTCCTCATCGATCCGCACCATGTGAATGATGAACTACGTCTTTGGGGAGGCTGAGGATGGCGAGACACACCCCTGGGAACATCGGGGACAAAGGTCTGGGCTGAAAGCCTTTGCAGATTTCTGAGAAGGTCGGCTATGAAAGACCTCGAGGTTCTTAGATGCGGACAACAAGGGAACTCATCAGAGAACCAGCGCGAATTGCAAACACGTCTTTGTCACAGATCGGTCGAGCAAAATATGTGAATTGGCGACTCGGAAAACAGGTTTTGCAGATACTGCTACCTTCTTCGCGGGCAATCCTGGTTGTTCTTTGCTGGCAAAGTTGTAGTCATCTCGAATATTACTCAAGATCCAGGAAAGCACGGGACACCTAGCCTCGAACCAAGGCCTTGCAGGGCTCACCTGTTCGTTGTACATTTCAAGTATGGAGACACTGAAAATGTACTTGGACGTCACTGCCGTGGTTTCGTTGGACAGATGAAAGAGCTCCTCGAATGCTCGGTGGAAGAGGCCTCGGTTGTGAGGGGTGCCCTCCTGCGAATGGGAATGAAGTCTCGTTTGCAGGCTAATCCTCGTCTTGACCATTGAAAACGGCGGGCGGCACCTCTGAAGTTGAAGAGACTCGTTGCAACAAGTGTTTGCACCAGCCCTTGCGCCAATCACGTCTTATATACCCACGTTAGTCTGGTGGTGGGGAGCATGGACCGATCTTAGGAGGCCCACTAAAGTTGCAATCGACTGCGAAACTCGTTGGAAATGTAGTGGGCCACCCAAAGCGCTGAAGTTCCGAGGCCAATTGAGCGGTTGTGGTGCAGATTATTGGTACATGATGAAAGACAGCACAGAAAACCGCGAACAGCGAAAGCCCGAAGGGGCACCTCAAGCCAGAAACAGCTGATCATTTTGGAGTCAACCTCGAAATTGAATTCAACAACCAAAGAACGATCTTTTAATGACCGCTTGGGCCTACTATATGGTCGGTTTCCTCCCCATCAATCGAACCTACTTCAAGCTTCAACCTTTTCCCCTTTTTTGTTTTTTAAGGTGCTCGAACCTCATTTCAAATGGGAAAACTATCTCATATATCTCTTACCATAGTGTAGGTCTTCCCTGCCCCCGTCTGTCCGTACGCCAGCACGCACGCGTTGTACCCGTCAAACACCGACTGCACGACCGGCTGCACCTCCTCAAACAACTCCGTCTGGTCCACGTGGGGCCCAAACACGCGGTCAAACTCGTAGTCCCGCTTTGGGATTTGGGATCCCCCCACGTTGGTCGCAGACACGCGGACCGTGTTCTCGTCGGGAAAGCTGCAGGACATGAGGCCTTCGTCCTCGAACTGGGGTCGCACTCGGGCAAAAACGCGGACGTTTCCTGTGGAGACAGAAGGGGCCAGAGTGAGATCCATGACTTTCAAGATTTCGTAGCCGTAGATGCAAGAGAGAGGCTCAATATGATCCCCTGCAAAACGCATGGGTGCGAGGATCGAAAGCATGGAGAAGAGGCAGAGCTTTGACTGCTCAAAAGGGTGGGATAGTACGATGCGCACACAACGGGACAGTCAGCGATGCAATATAAAACATATTGGTTCTTGGAAGAAAAAAGCCAGCACGCCTGTCGATATTTATCGTGACCTACCAGAAGGACGATGTTTGGAACATTTAGCTGGTGTGTCCGACACATGTTGACGCAAAGAATGAACCGTCTAAGTCACGTCTGAACATGCTTTTTTCAATTAGTCACGACAACAGAGACACTCTGCAGTTTCAGAAGCCAAACCACTGCTGTGGCCAGGATCATGAAATGCAACCTCTTTGGTTCAGGGGTGCTCTGGTTACTGCAATGAAAAAAGCGTGCGAGGATGGTCGGTGCAGGGACCACATCCACATTGTGGTCCACAATAAAGCAAGGGGCTCTTGACCTTCCCAGAAAGCTGCCACGCACATGGGGATCTTGCCAATGCCTTGACTTTCCGATATGCCACTATCTTTACATTCTTGTGCTTCAATTATGTCAACCGGCATTGGGACAGCACCGCAACCGAAGGAGTGTGACTACTGGGGAAAACGTATTACAGGGCAAATTTTAGACAACCTGTTCAAAAGTGAAGTCACTCAGGTTATGCATCCTACAATTTTGTCCCTCCCAAGATACTGGATGTTGCATTTGCACACAAACGACGCCCTACTTCTGTCCAGGCCAATTGAAGTGGCTGCCTCTAAAGCAATTTCTCGCTGTATCAAATGGGCCGGTCAAATGTGATGTTCCAGTGGCAGCATTGTGTCAGGGAATCGTGCGCATCGGTATGCTCTGACCACCTGAAGATCCTGCAAGCGAGACCCCGCACTCTACTTTCTCCTCAATCTTTGCGCAGGCAAGATGCACCTCTACATCTTAGAATGCTCAAGAAGTGCCAGACTCACAACCGCCACCCAATCACAGCAGGTCGGCCCTCACCTTTGAGCGACATAAGATCGTTGAACAGCTTCCGCTTCTCTTTCTTGAGCGGCACCAGGCGCGCGTCAGCATCCCGGACACTCGCATCCAGCTTCCGCGTCTTATCCTGCAGCACGACCAGGTACTTGCGCACCCTTGTGATCTTGGCATTGCTATATTCCTGTAGATCGCTCGCCTCTTGTTTCAGCTCCACCCACTCCTCCTTTGTCTTGCTCAGCTTCTCCCTGACCCGCTGTACCGCCTCCACAAATGCAGCGGTGTACATTCTCCTCGCAGAAACCCTCCCCGTCGAGGGGCTCCCAACGCTGCTCCTCCCAGGGCTCGCGGAATGGGTGCTCGCAGGACTCCTCGCCTCTGAGGGGCTCTGCATACCTGGGGAAAGATTGCTGACGGTGTGCCTGCGCATATGGACCCCGTGGGGGGGCCTTGCGTCGTTGGGGTCATCTCCCCCATTTCCTCGGTCCCAATGCTGGCCGATGTATCCGGAGCTTGCGGAGCGGCCTATCGGCGCTGGGGGTGGCACATTCACCCGCAGAGTGCCCTTAGGCACGGCGTAGTTTGTTGAGTTTGAATGGGACATGTTTGCTGGGGTTTCCAAAAGGTTGGGGAAGCTCCCCTGAGACGCAATTGCTAGCTGCAGCACATTCTGCACATTACTTCGTCTACGATACGGCCAGCGTGCAAATGCGCCTTTATGGTTTCATCATGAATGGCAAAAACATTGCACCTGTGTTGACAAAGATTTCCATCCTAAGGTGGAATGCTACTGCAATTGCGTTGCGTGGCTGTTTGAGCGCAACACTTAAAATGGACAGAGCGAAATTGGGGGCCGGTCGAAATTGTCTGCCTTTGGCATGAGAAACGGACTTAGAAAGCTCTTCCACAGATCATACTGTAACAAGAGCATTGCAGCCCCCATTCTGTGCTCCTTCTAGGCTTTGTACGCCGCATTGCCATTGAGCTTGCCATGGGACCATCAAAAATTCAAATTTCAGGCGCTCTAGATTTTCACGAGAGGTGCCTCTGTACGAGGTGTCGACGATCAGCGATCATTGTGAAGTGAACGCAGAGTGTGAACAGCTGCAAAGCTAAGCCAAGGTACGTACCATTGGCATAAGGTGCTCAAGTTTCAATAGGGAAACCATATCCCGGTTCCGTGGACAACCGCGGGGGTTGCACCTATTCCCACCATCCGCTTGGCTAGTGATATGCAATTCGACATTTAGATACCTATCTGATCGTGGTTACACTCAGTATGATGATGAAGACTCTAAGCTCAAGGTTATATTAAACCCTATTCCCAGCACTACTTGCTCGCCTTAAGACTCTGAATTGGTTTCATTGCGAACGTACTCCCTTGACCCTGTTAGATGTCATGTGGGAAAACCCCGCTTCTTTTACAGCGCGGGAGGCTTCTCAAACTTTCTCCAGGACCTTGAAAGGCAGGGAGCCCGCAAAAATTGGTGAACTTGTACCAGTCCAACAACAGACGTTGAAGTCAGCAGAAGAGGCGTCCTTTCAGCCGCTCCATTTCCTGCTCTCAGGACGTTGTCAGAGATTGTGACCATTTTTGGAGGGCTGCGAGTCAGGAGATGCTAAACCTGCCTTTGCTGCCGACCCCCTTTTGTAGGAGAAGTGGAGGTTTCAGTCACCCTTTACACCCTGCCGTTTGGCACGTTGCCTTTTGCTGTCTTGGCATGCTGCAGTAAGTTTAGAAACTACTAGTGGAAAGAATGGCATCTCCGGCCGAGGAGCAGGCTGCCTCTGAGGAGGAGCACCCGGCGACCAGCGAGCTGCTATCTGTGGGATTCAACCAGGACTATGGCTGCTTTGCCTGCGGCACCGACTCGGGGTTTAGAATATATAACTGTGACCCTTTCAAAGAGACGTTTCGGCGGGAATTCAACAATGGCGGCATCGGCCTGGTCGAAATGCTCTTCCGCTGCAACATCCTGGCCATTGTAGGTGGGGGCAAGAACCCTCGCTACCCCCCCAATAAGGTCATGATTTGGGATGACCACCAGAGCCGGTGCATAGGCGAGCTGGCTTTCAGGAGCGAGGTGCGCGCCGTCAGGCTCAGAAGGGACCGTATCGTGGTCGTCTTGGAACACAAGATATACGTGTACAACTTTGCAGACCTGAAGCTGCTGCACCAGATTGAGACCATTGCAAACCCCAAGGGCCTCTGTGCGCTCTCCCCCGCCTCTAACAGCACAGTCCTGGCGTGCCCTGGCCTTCACAGGGGTCAAGTGAGGGTAGAGCTGTATGACCAGAAGAAGACGAGGTTTATTGCGGCGCATGAGTCTGCACTAGCGTGCTTTGCCCTCACACTGGATGGGACGAAGCTGGCGACCGCCAGCTCAAAGGGCACGCTCGTGCGTCTTTTCAGCACTGCAGACGGCAGCAAGTTGCAAGAGGTGAGGGCCCGCTACCTTGTCAAGCTCGGGGCTTTAAAGTTTGTGCTAGAGGCCTGATGTCAAGGAAGGTGCTTACAGACAGGTGCTTGGTGTACAGCTTTTCTCCAAATCAGACCAGGACCAGTTGCACGAGGGTTTTTCCGGCCAACATTCAACTAGGGGTTGGTTTGGAATGGTGGAATTCTAGTTGTTTGTTTAGGGTTCTGGTTGGGGGTCTGGTCTAAGCATAGTGTGTGATGAGGGGGTTGTTAAGAATCCTCTCAAGCCAACTTCTTCGTTATCAGCTTGGATGTTCATAGGGGTTTCAAGTTCTCTTTTGAGGAGCCATCATTTGTCTTAAGCCCCGGTCGATGTTCTCAGCATTTTTTTGAGCTCAGAGACACTGCAGAGACACTGCAGTTGAGAGAGTATGTAAGCAGTGATGAAGGTTTTGTTAAGAGTAGCTGCTCCCAGGCAATTGCTCCAACATCAACCAGGTTGCAACTGTGTTCAGTGGTTGTCTTGCAGCTTGTGACTTGGCCCGTTGGTTTCAAGTTCGCTTTGAAGGTCTGCAAAAATGTGTCGGCCGTTTATTACTGTTGCTGGGGTGCGATGCCAATCGCTTGAGAAACATATCATATTCAGTGGTTTCCAAGCCTTTGCGTTCATGCACTTTATACAATCGTGTTTCAGGACCAGCTTCGTGTTGAAACTTGTGTTGTCTCTTTAAAGAGCACATACAAATCATATTACAGGCTTCACTTGAACGTCAGCTTTTTCCATAATGCAGTGGCTTAACATCAAGCTTCAGTTGTTCAGTAAATGGAGTGGCCTCCTCAACTACCGTTATCCAGCCTGCACGCCTCAAATTACTGGCCAATGGTTATTGGGCACCTCAATCTCTGCTTATGCCAGGGGGTAGCGTCTTTCCTCAGGCCTTGATTGAGGTTGGGATTTGGCCCCCTTTTCCACAAGACTTGGCAAGTTAGCTGTTCAATGACTGGTTTTGTGCACTTTAGCAGGTCAAGGCGAGCTTCCACCTCGGGTCAGCAGCTCTAACCAAACCCCTCTCCTTATTCAACAGTTCCGGCGTGGGGCAGATCGAGCTGAGATCTACAGTCTCGCTTTCTCCCCTGACGCCCGCTGGCTCGCGGTTTCGAGCGACAAGGGCACCATCCACGTCTTTGCGATCGGACGGCCCGACGACGCTTCTGCTGACGGGTCCGCTGCTGCCTCCACGAGTCCAAACTCCAACGGAGGGAATGGAGGAAATGGTGGTTACGTCAACGGTGGAGCCCAAGCGAACGGGCCCGTGCGCAACTCGATGTCGTCGTTGGCTCTCTTGAAAGGTGCGGTTGGCTTGTTCTGCTTTACATGTCTTGGATTATCAGCTTGTGCACTTTCGAGGCTGTCTCCAGTCTTGGATGTTTTTGTCGGCCTGCTAAATGCGGCGGCAACGTCTTTGTTTTCTGGGAGCGCCAGCATGCATTCGCGAATCTGGAGCATCCATATGGGAACTCGCAAAGCTGCCCAGGATTCACCCGAGAGTCGTCTGGGTCGTTCGAACGTCCTTTGCGTCCGTTTACTCTGCACAGAATGCACTGGTTCAGACTGGCAGCTGTTTGCTGTCGGCCGAAACAGCCTGTACAAAGCCTGGGCACTCTCACCTGGGGATACGATCCTAATTCACGGAGAGTTTTTGCACCAAGTTTGCTGAAACTCCAAGACTCTGGTAACTCAAGTATGCCCTAACCGCAGTGTGCCTTAAGATAGACGCCCGGGGGACGGGTGGGGTTGGTATGGTGGTTAGGGTGGGTTGGGGTGTGGAGCGCGTAGCCTTTTTGTTAGGGATTTTAGTTTGTTGGCTCGGGGTCTACTAATTTTAAGGCACACAGCTGTTAGGGCACACAAGAGTTACCAGTATAACTACAAGTCGACCCTACTCGTCCTCACGGCGCTTACTTCGAGCACACGCCCTGTTAGGACACACGAAAATGACAAACTAAGAATCGTGTGTGCAGGCGTGCTCCCCAAGTACTTCAGCTCCGAGTGGTCCCTGGCGCAGTACCACCTGCCGGAGGAGGCCAAGTCGATCGTGGCGTTCGGGCCGCAAAAGCACACGCTCATCATCGTTGGAGCGGACGGCAGGTCAGCCTCGAATCTTTTGAAACACGAAGGACGTCCTGCAGAGTTTCTGAGAGAGGGTTATGTGATGCTTTCCCGAAGATATTATTTCTCTGGCAGTGTCTAGTTTCGGGATGCTACTTCTGAGGAGACTCCAAGCGCGGTGTGACCAAAGGAGAGTTCACAACTCTGCATATGGGTGCCTTTGATTTCTGATTTGATGCTCAGAAGGTGTGGTCGGATTGAGCTCGAAACTCGGAGCCCTGGCAGCCGAAGCAGAGGCTTGGGTGGTTAGAGACTGTGGTCCTGGATGTGCCGTTGAGATGAAACTTATTAACTAAAACTCAGCTACCTTGGGTGGTACCCTGCGTCGTGAGGCGTTCGTCATCTTGCACGTGCTTTCAGTATTTCGTTATTGCAACCTCAGTTGACCTGTGGCGGTGCGATGTTCTGATGTCTAGATTGGCTTCGTCTTCCTCACTTTTCCTTTGCATCGAGACCGAAGCAGAAGGCTGTGAGGGACCAGATTGCTGACGTGGCAGATGCCGAGAACTGTGCCTAAGAAAAATGCTCCGTGTGCACGGAACAGCGATGATATACTTGGTTTCAGGAGCTGCTAGGCTTTTCCCTTGATGAACGACACAAAAGAGAAGGTCCGTTGCTTTCACGCGCTGCTAATCGGCTCGCCTTCGCTTTTCCTGTTGCAGTTTCCACAAAGTTTCGTTTGAGCCCACCGCAGGCGGCGAGTGCGCACAGCTGGAGTACAAAAAGTTCATGAAGCCGGATGAAGATGAATCGAGCTAGATGTTGATCACGTTCCCGCTGTGCTGCTTCCTTGTGAGTATTGTATGACTTGTAAATACAACGACTTGTACATTCTTGCTGCTCACGGTCGTTATACATTTCGCGGGCTTTTCAATGTTCTGATCTTGGATGCTTGTACCTCAATGGTGGTTTCTGGAGCGAAACCCTCAGCTAGGCTGCTTCCGGATACTGTAGCCTTTCTTTTCCAGATCATGATTTGTCAAAGGGGGACTTGCTTGCGAGCCTGGACATTGTGCATCAGATACCCGTATCCGATTGATTTGTTGACAGGGTGGAACACTAAAATGGGGCTGCGGCCTTGACAGACCAACCGTTTCGCATGCGTGAAGATGCATGCCCAATGTATCGCAGTGCACAGGCTTAAGCCTCAGCACTAACTCGCTGCTAGCATTCATCTGCATGGACAAGCGGCGGCTAGGCGACCGCACGTGCGATATGACGGTACAGTGTGCGTATGTGGGTCGAGCTCACATGCTCTGGTGCCCCGCCTTCACATATGAATGCAGGGACTTGCCAGGCCACGTACCGTCGTGACCACTCAACCTAATTAAATTGCATGTTACTGCCGCAGGGGCACATGCATGCATGCGCGTGCACAGCCTTATGCCAGACCCATGAGGCCGCGTTATAATGTATATGCGGTATTAACTGGTATAAAGATAAGCATATGAACACGGACACGCGCTGAATCAACGTCACCCATGTACCTGGGCCTGGCGCCACGTCATGTACCAAAGTTGGGTATACACCTGGAGCCTGTCATTGCGTGCATACAGCTGGCCGGCTCATCGTAGGGAACATGTGTGCGCCTAAAGATATATGAAGAAGTCTACATGGGCATAACTGAGCCTGTCATGTGCTGTCCATAGCATGTGCTGCGGTGACAATCAATTCGCCGCCTAGTTTGATGGGCTGTCAGCTTAGGCCTGGCTATCAATGGCAGCATGGCAAATGCTTCACATGCTTGTGCCTCTCGGATTGCCCATACATTTGCGCCGCGCAGCCACAGAACTTGTCCCGCAAGAACAGTTTATGAATTGCTTGCCTGCGACGATGCCCATGGATCGAAAGGCACGCAATCTCGATAAGCTAACGGATCCGAGCTGCATGTAGATACTCCAAGAAGGCACAGTCTTCATCGATCACCCATAATTTTGACCCGCCCAAACACACTTCGGCCTTCATCGATCCACAAGGCAGAGCACGTCACAACGTCTAGAGCCGCTTGCACATCCGCCGTCAGTCCTCATCTTCGTCCCGCTGCCCCGCCTCGTCTTCCTCCCCGCTCTCGTTCCCCCTCTTAGGGCTGTCCTCATCGTCGCTGTCCCTTCGAGCAGCACGCTCCGCGGCCCGGGCGGCCCGCGCCTCTTCTTCCTGCCGCTCCCTCTCCTCCCTTTCGGCCTCCAGCCGCTCCTCCTGATAAGAATCAGTGGAAAATCAGAGCGCACTCCACGCTTTGCTGAAAGTGTGGCAATCCTACACTCAAGTTTCCATATGCAAACACGATTTTGAAAATTGAAGAAGCTCCAACGAGAGACGCAGTCTATTTGGCCCTCTTAGCGCTACGGGACGTTCAAAGACCATGAGTCACAACAAGCGTGCAACAACCCCTGACAAGAACTCTATGTGTCGCAAGTGTCGCTCGATTCCGACGCTATCGGAAGTTGGACCCGGGAACCCGCTTCCAATTCCCAAGCCCGTGCTACAATACGGTACCCACTTCTCTGTCCGGTTGCAATACCGGTAGGTGGACCCTGTGTCTGGGGCTACCGTGCACCGGAACCGAGCGAAAATACCGTGCACGATCCTCAACACGTAACCGTGGGCCCGGACAGCTTTGATGCAGACTGCTGTCGGGTCAGCTGACGCGCTCGCTCGTTTGCGACCACTCCCTTTCTGGTCAAAAGCAGCACCATGATGCGAGTCGTTTGCAGAAAAAAGTGCAAAGTGCGTGAACCAGGACTGACCTCTTCTATCCTGGCAATCTTCGCAACCCGAATGTCCTCCTCGATTTCCTCTTGACTCCGCTTTTGGACAGTTACCTGCAGCTAGGAGAGGAGCGTCAAGAAGCTTGTCAAAACGCATTGTGCGTACAAACGGTTCGCATACTTGCTTCAAATCACGTTTGACTCGAATGCGCACACAAAGACAAACGACTATGTTTGCAAAAAGCTTGTAAACTGCCACGTGTCCGCTAAGTACCACAAGGCCTTCTCATACAAGATCAAAACAATACAGCCCCAGGCGCGAAATGAAAAGTATCTTATTCTGCTTCGAAGTACGACAATCGGCTCCACAAGGCCTCTCTAAACGATAGCACAAGGCGCCTCACCCTGCTGGGCTGCCGGAAGGCCCCGTCGTCCTCTCCGTCGGAACCCGGCGCCTGTCGAGACTCCCGCGCCTTACGCTTCTTCAGCTTGAGGCCATTCTTTATGGGCTGCACACGAGAGAAAGCGTTCGACGGTTAAGAGTGGCGGCTCGATCGGATGAGATTGCAAGTCGCGAGGATGTCTTCGTAAATCCGCTTTTCGGGCGCTCGAAAAGTTACGACCGAAATTCCTTTGTTGTGAGGGTTGCGTAGCCGCAAAGAACGGGTGATGTTTCACATATGCGAACGGTTGCGGTGCCTTTGAGCAGAGCTGTGATGCGGAATGCACGACGGGTGAGGCAAGGACGTCAAATAGGTGCTCTTAACCAGAAATTACTCACTCGAACAAAGTAACAGCTTAACCTCATCCGAAACTCCCTCAAACGCTTTATCCGGCTCTAAGTGAGACTTAACGGTGATCAATCGAGGAGCAGACCTAGCATGCGACTGCCAAAAATCGTCGAAGCAACACGGCGTCCCGAGTGCCCCGCGCATTCAAGGGTCTACTATTTCAGCTTTGTAGCCGCTTGGTTGGTCTCTTTGAAAGACGGCTCTTCCTTACCAGGTAAGCCACTTGGTCATCCTCAAAGTTAAGAACGAAGGTGCTACGTCCGGATTCCGTCGGCTGGAGCTGCCAGTTGTACTCCCGCACCCAGTCAAACTCAACCTCACGGTCTTCGGGGTCCGCGCCAACCTGCCACGTGGCATAGAAGGAAGATTAGTCCCAGAACAACTAGAGGGGCGAGAGACAAAGTCACCACTTGTACTCGCACTTTCGACGAACTCCACATCGAGATCCGTACCAATGTTGCATAAAAGGTAAGGTGTTTTTGGTAAACAAGCTTTACGTGAAAGCCTGACCTACTTCCATCACTAATATTCTCTCAAAAGCTGGTTGATGTTTGTTGCGCGTGGCATGGAAGGCAAGGTCGCTTTAGGGCGAACTAGCTTCACGTGAAATCCTGACTGGAGTCCATTACCAGTGTCCTCTCAAAAGGTGGTCCAATTTCGTTCAAAATACTGGACACGACACAAGCCTTCAGCTATCTTGAGCAGTATTAGCAAACGAAGCGGCAATACTGGATGGAGGGAATCGAGTAGGAACGTAGAAATGTAGAAGCGGACTCCAGGTCCGGCGGAACGCAACTTGCCAGTATTCCTCTCAGACTGTCGTCGAGAAGGTTTGCAGTGCCTCGTAACCTCTCGTCTTGGGCGCTTTAGACACAACAATGAGGGCGACAACAGAGGCACGGCTACAGCAGGAGCTCAACGCGTTCTATAAACTTTACATGGTGCAGTTCTAAATCTCCAAAAAAGCCTTGACATGTGGGAGAACAGAAATGAAGAAGCTCAACGACCTTCATTCCTGAGCGCAATTTGAAGGCGCTCACCTCTTCCAACGAGGGCACCATGTAGGCAATAAACTTCTCGGGCGCCTGCCCCTCGTCGCCTGGTATTGTGAACCCCTTCATCATCGCCTGGAAAGAGTCGGCTAGAGAGTTAGACGCACATTCTGATATGCATCGGCAAAAGCCAAATAGGTGCCCCTCGTTGAGTGAGCACTAGACGGTGGCCCTGAAAAGACAAGCCGTTTTCAAAGCAAATCCTTAGGAAAGGCTTTGAGTTAGCGAGGCAGTAGAAGCGGCTTGACCGTCAAGACCCTCGAGCCCTCCCCACGCCTTGCCAGGCTGTCCAGCAGTCCCGACAAGATTTGAACCACATAAAGCGCACACCTTTGAGTAGGACTTTTCTCGATAAAAATTGGTCGGACGCAAGTACTGGGCTTCTGTGCTTGACAAAGGCAATCAACCACCCGGTTCATCGAGTCACCCGCGCATACAACTGACGCTGTCATTAAGCTGTCAGATTGCCACTTGACGAGATCATGAAAGAATCTGAGCTTTTTAAGGTTGAACCTTTCCTTGATCACCCGCACAACCGAAGGTATCGCGACTCTTGCAACGGACGTCCGAATCTCACCCTGGCCGCCATCCCTTCGCAAACGTCCGTTCCATAGTGCCGTTCCAACGAACTCATAACCCACTTACGCATGCCCAAAGTGAAATCCAACATTCGACTTCCGGATTTTCAAGGAACGTCCGAATTTTACTCTGGCCGCCATCTCCTCCCGGACGTCCGCCCCGTAGCCTCGGTGCCGCTCCAATGAACTCTCAAATCCGGAACAGACGCCCAGATCAAACTCCAACATTTGACTTCTTCCGATTCTTGTGAGGACGTCCGAAGCTTACCCTGGCCGCCATCTCCTCCCGGACGTCCGCCCCGTAGTGCCGGTGCCGCTCCGACTCGGCCGTCGGCTCCGCGTCGAAGACCGCCTGCACGAACGGGTCGTCGAAGCGGTCCGCGTCCGGCAGCAGCTGCAGCACCAGCTCCGGACGTAAGTGCGGCTTCGACGCGTGCACGGGGGGCAGCTGCGCAGCCACGAACGTCGCCTCGATGCTTGCAAGCTGCTTCTCCCTGCATAGAAGGAGTTTTTAGTGGAGGGCTCAGCTCCTTTCCTTTCCTGCCGTTCTTCTTGTGGTGAAGTATCCTCGATGTTCGCAGCTTGCTAGACTGACTCGAAGACGTGAACGGGTGGCAGCTGCGCGGCCACGAATGTCGCCTCGATGCTCGCAATCTGCGTCTCCCTGCGATTGGTAATGATTGAGGGACACAGCTCCTTCTCTTTTCTCGATTCAATCAGATTCGAACCCTCGATGTTTGGAGATTGTTTAAGATGCACGGGGGCGGCAACAAAAGTCGCCTCGATGCTCGCAGTCTGCTTCTCCCTGCAAATTTGACATTTAGAGAGTCAGTAAGTTGAGCTTTTGGGCGTCTGTAAGCAGTGAGAGATAACAGCGGCAGCACCGGCTTCGAACGTAAGTGCGGCTTCGACGCGGGGACGGGGGGCAGCTGCGAGGCTGCGAGGTTCGTTGCCTCGATGCTCGCAATCTGCTTCTCCCTGCAGTAAGGTTTTAGAGTGTAAATTTTGTTTTTATGTCTGCCTCCCCAATCCATATCCGAAAACCAAGGGTCCTTCGAATTTCGACGTTCGCTATGTTGAAAACGGTGGCGTGCACAGGAGCCAGCTGAACGTCGCCCTTCGTGCTCACTCCCTGCCGTGCGCACTGCGGGAGTGAGTAATGTCGTCGCAATTCAGGGCTGGACTTTCGAAATTCGGAACGGCGTGCGGAGGACCACCTTCGCAGCAATAAACGTCGATATGAGGGTTCGCCTTCGGAACGCGAAGCAAAGGAGGTCGTACTCAGCAACCTGAAAGCTGCGCAGATGTTGTTGCTACATGTTGGGCACTGATTGAGGCGTCTGAAAAGAGGTGAATACACCCCTCTCCTCCAACCCAGATGACAGCCTGAGAGCAATCGCAAGGCGCCTCATGTTCCTTTTTGTAGCTTTGGCTTACCGGTCCGTCTTGCCGTCCATGTCTTCCAGCAGCCCCAGCATCTCGTCCCGCTTTTGCTTCAACTGCTTCTCGTTCAAGCCCAGCTGCGAGGCAGGTCGAGCGACGGTTTGACAAGCAGGTCTTCAATCGACCGACCATTTTGATCATCCAGCTTCAAAGCGAGGCGCGTATGTCAAGGGTGAAAACGCTTGAAATAGGAAATGGGTCGTAAGCAACCAAGATGCGTTCACACCGTATGAATGTTGACGAAGGCCCACGTGTTCCGATTCCCTAGACACCTAAACACCTTGGTTGTGACCTAAGCATTCAAAAGAACGAAGAAACACCGAAGTCCGTCGTGCCTCACAGCAAACCGCACAGTAAACCCGCAGCTATTCGATCCGTCTGAGGCAAACCCGCGTCTCGAATGCAAGCAACAATACGAGCGCAGGAACCTGGGGTCATGGTATCGCCGCTCACGTTCTTTGTCGTTTCTTGGTCGATGTTCGAGATGTACGACGTGCGCACGAGCCACTTCATGCCTTCCTCCGCGGGGCGGTCCTTCTTCTTGATCACGCTCGTGCTCGCCAGCTTCGTCTTCACATCGTCCTGCAACAGCGCGCGGTCCTCGGGGTCCATCGGCGGGCGCTGGTCGGCGGGAGGGGCACTGCGAAACAGAATCTTGAGATCTGGAGATGAACGCATTATGGCACTGTCGGACAGTTCAAGGTTTTGAAGAACTGATGGATCCAACAGAAGGGGGGACAAGCATGCGGAGAGAGACGCAGTCGGCATGCTCATCAGTTGGGGGGCGCTGTGACGACACACGTCGAAGACCAAAGAGTATAAGTTTTGGGCAGGAAAGGCGTGAGGGACAGTGGTCCGGTGGAAAAGGGCATGCGAACATAAGGAGTTAGGTTCTGAGAAGCAGGAACTACCGGTAGGGCGTGTGGTTGTGGAGTGGGGTGCTCAAGAGAATGTGGCTGTGAAAGTAAGAATTTATGCCACAAGGATGAGATGGCTTTGGTGAGAGTGGGCGGAGGACACGGCCTCCTACAGGATTTGCTGATGCATAGACTTTTGAGCCTCTTGCCTATCCTCTCCTTAGAGCCTGGGCTGCCTCTTGTCCTGGCTCAATAAGCTAGGTAAGCTTGAAGGCCACTTTGGTGCCCAAGAATGGGCCATAAGATTGAAATAGACTTCAAAAAGAGGAGGGGACCAGGAAACACGATTGTGCGAGCGCTCACTCATACACGCTAAGGTCCATAAGGTCTAGAGGGATCCCCAGATCCGGCTCCATCAGCAGCTTGTGCTTGTACCTCTTCTCCAGAGTCGTGATTGTGTACTTTGTATACCTGTACACATGTTTTCCTACTTTGGTTAGAATCAAACAAGGCCCTATTCTGAGCTCAACAGGGCAGTGGCTTGATTCTTCATCTGACGTGAAGGGATAACTTGAAGCATTTTGCACTCAACACTATGCAATCGCATTTTTTGGAGGATTCCTGTTGGGCGAGAGAGCGCGAAGAGCACAATTGACAACATCATGAAGTGATTGCCACATATAAGCAAATGCGTTTACTTGGTCGAAGGATGATCAATACGCCCCTTGGTTGATCATTGAAGTGCCCATCACAATGCATGCCCGAGCTGCGTATGACACATCTCTGCCTTCGTATCAACACCATCAGAGGCTCACTGACAGACTTCCATCAAGACCTCAGCTTAGAGTGTTTGAGTCCTCAGCCCAGTCGCCAGTATCATCAGGTGCTCTCACCTGTCGGGATCCAGGTCTGTCAAAAGAAACTTTGGCTCCCCAAGAACCTCGGGCAGTTCGTTCCGAAACCTGCAGAGAGAAGAATAGCCAATCTATGCAACAAGGCAAATGCGAACTTTGGCGTATTCTCAGTGACCCAGATTTTGCAAGCTTCCAGACATCCAAGTCAATTGGGGAAACTCCTTTGGAAACCTTATAGGTCGTTACAGCTTTAGCCCCAGCTCAACAATCGCCGCCCTTGCTAGCTCACAAACTGATGAGTTTTGCTGGTGGTGGTATAACATTCTGAGCATCGGGTCTCTCAGAAGCATTCAAAACCAGACCACCACTGCTTCAGGTTTGAATGTAAAGTCCTCAACAAGCAGCGCAAGAAGTGCTATCTACAACACAAAGATTCAATGATGTAACGACAGCATGCTGCACCCCACCAGCCGCAGCAAACGAGGCGTCAAACAACAGCACTCTCATCGAACGTCAAGCATTGCAGAGCACGCACTTTATCCTACACACAAAATTGGTCGGCCGCTTCAGCCTGTTCTGCTCCTTGCCCGCCTCCCCCGGCTTCCGCTCGGGCTTCGTCCCCTTCCCGCCCTGCTTCGCAGCCGCTTGCTGCGCGGCCTTCTTCTGCTCGGCGCGCTTCCGCTCCTCGTACTTGCGCCTCTCGTGCTCCTTCCTTTTCTTCCTCTCCTCCTCAGTCTCGACTTTCTTCGTTGGCCCCGGAGCAGCGGCGGCAGGAGGGGGGGGAAGCGGAGCAGGTTGTTTTGGAGGGGGTACGCTTCCTTGCGGATGCGCGGGAGGCTGCATCGACTGCTGATTGTACCCCCCAGGATACTGATACTGATCCTGGTAGGGAAACCCCGAGTACTCATACCCCGGATAAGGCGCGTGCGCTGGAGGGTAACCAGGAGGCTGAGGCGGTGGTGGGGGCTGTTGTATCTGCGAGTAAAAGCTAGAATTAGGAGGGGGGTACTGCGCCAGGCCCGGCTGGTCGGGTGCCCCATACTGTAGGGGCGGCTCGGCAGGGGTTTTTATGTCAGTGTCTTTTGGCGGGGGGTACTGCGCCAGCTCTGGCCGCCCCGGGGCGCCATACTGCAGCGGGCGGCTGTCTTCGGCGGGCAGTTTGGCGGGCGGAGAGAAAGTGGTCGCCATGAGGATGAGAAACTGTCAACCCAAGGAGGATGCTCACAAGCGGAACACCATACCACGATCCTCAGTCCAACCCTGAGCAGTCAACATCGTTGAGCGCCAGGCAATCACTCGATGCTCTACTGCGGCGTTGCCCTCCTTCCTTGCACAACCTCCACTGCCAGGCTCTGAAGTCTGAAGACTGCGGTACAAGCCTGCCCTGCTGCCACTGGTTTTCCGAGCCATGCTTGAACTTCTCCAAACTGAGCGGGCCCAAAGCTTACAGAAAACAGAAAACGGCGACCTTGCTACCTTCGACAAACACAGGCAGGTCGCCGGTTCCCCCGCAAAGCGACTTCACCGTTTTGAGGTTCTGAAGAAGGGCGGCTCTAGCTGCGACCAATTGGACAGCAACGCAGAGCCGGGATGCACAATCTCAAAGCGTGCCACCACCAAGCATTGGCAGGCCAATGAGAACAAAAAGTACAATGAAGCAACCTAAATGATGCATAGAGAGCTGCCATGTAACTGATGGGAGGCTCAAAACTACCCCTTGATCTATTCACAAAGATGAGTTCGCATGGTAAATCAATGAAGGGCTACAGGTCTCTGCGCAGTCTAATGTTTTCTCTTATCCTCTTGTCATCAACGATCGATGTAGCATTCTGTATGCCAGCTCAATTGCTCCCGACAGGGCTGCTCCAATCTTTCTTGACCCCAATGCAAGAAGATGGAAAGGCGCCAGGTTTTGGGGTAGAAACTTCCAAGACTGGACTTCGATTCCACAATCCGCTAGAGGAGATCAATGTGGAGAGCATGGTGGTACAGATCAATGAGGAAGTGCAGCTCTCCGTCACGCCCCAGGTCGTGCCGGAGAATGCTGGCTGGGTGACTGTGTCCTGGAGAAACGTGGACGAGCCATCAAGTCTTGATTGGATTGCAGTGTGAGCATTACCTACTTGTGCTGAAGATGACAAAGTGGCTTCATCTGTTGTGCACAGATATGATGACCAGGCAGTGCCCAATGGGCTTGAACCCACATTCTTTGTCCTTCTAGATCCTGATCAACCTCTCACCATCATGAACTTACCCCCTCTCTTCTCTTTCCTTAGGTCTTCATCAATTTCCGATCAGGTCAGATAAGTGGTGCAGTCAAACATTTGAGTGTGTGATCATGGAGTCTTGTGATGTTGGCCAGTCTGCCCTTCAGGGGCATTTCAAACTAATTGGGGGCAGAGCACAAAAGTTTGGGTACTGCTTCAGTCCATCATAATGAGCAACTGACTGCCCTTGAGAATAAGTTTCACATACGCTCTAGTTGCAGTGGCACAAAGTGGTTTCCCATGGGTTCTGAAAGCAAGCCTCCCTTTGTAGTCAGAACTTGTAAGAGGTCAAGCAACAGGATGGCTTTCCCATGCTTCAGACTTCACACATCTCCAGGTTGTTAGTCAACTTCTTGGTTGTTTCTAGTTCCCGGTGTCTCCTATTACACTTCCTTGCATAATACTGGTGACAAAGATAGAAGCACTACTAAATAGGCACGTTTGACATCTTAGGTACGTGCCGGCTGATGCGGACCCTACGCTCACTGCCCCCATCAAGTTCAAGATGGCAGTCACTGACCCTGGACACCTTGCAAGTGGCAGTGGGAGCGTCAGGTAAGCGCTGTCGCAATTCTGGCTTGGACCTCCATGTTATTCAGATCTGAGTGAGGTTGAGCTAGCGAGTCTTTAATAGGTGACTGCTTTCCTCTGAACAAGGACTAGGAAATGTGGTTCCGATTCTGACTTGATTGACCAAAAACACAGGATTATTATGATGACGAACTCAAGCCTACCGCTTAAAAGCCGGCTTTCTGTTGCATGCAGGTTCCGATTGATAAACATGAGGGCCGATGTTCGGTTTGCCTTCTTCCGTGGAGGCTTGAAGGCGCCGCATCTGGCGGCTTGGAGTCAGGCAGTGGTGTTCGCCGACCCAGATCGAGTGAGTTCCGGGAACCAAGGAGGTCATCTGGAGCCTCCTGAACCAATCAAGAAAAATGGACAAAAAGGGATGATCACTCGAGGAGATTCTGATGGACAAGTGGATTGGCACATTCGACACTCTTTGGTTGTTCAGACAACTTCGATTCGCTCGTCTTGCATTCACCGTTGCGTACACCAAATTTGACACTGGCAGCCTCGACTTACAGAAATGGAGGTCCTCAGTAGGCCCAGTGTCAATCACCTTAATACAATCCTCGCTCCCTTTGTACTTCTAAGTTCTTCACAATGTTTTGCAGCCCATGGGGGTGCACTTGGCCCTGACCGGGACCCCCGGCGAGATGCTCGTCAGTTGGACTACGAAAGAGCGCGGGGAGGAGCCAGAGGTGCATTGGGGGCAGCGCCCGGGGCAGCTGACGAACAGAGCCCGTGCCGAGACTACCACACACAGCCTAGGCGACATGTGTGGGGTAGGGATCTGAAACCAATTCGACGCGTTTCCGATTCTCAAGCGAGTACGTCAACGGTTCTCGTCCATTGGGTCAGCAAATGAACGTCCCTTGGTTCGAGGAACAAAAAATCACGCAAAGGATTAAGCGGTCGAGGCAGAGTTTGGAAGGGTCTGACAAGCAGCTGAATGGATCGGCAAGAAGCAAACTTAGAAGCGTAACGCTCTCCGCGTGAGGTATGGACTACGAGCTACTTGCAAAACTTCGGATATTCAAAGTACGTGCCTGTCTGCTTTCATGACGATTCGGACAACCTCATTGGCAAGGGTAAGTGTTTTCCAGTCGTACGGTCCTTGTCGCACGGCCGTTCCCTTGGTTGGACCGCCTCAGACTGAGCCCTCCATACTTTCACTCCCGCAGGGTCCTGCGAAATCGGTCGGTTGGATCGACCCCGGGCACTTCCACTCGGCGCTCATCAGTGGGCTGCTCCCGGAGGAGACCGTGTACTATCGGGTTGGCGAAGCGGGGCGGAATCTGAGCGACGAGTTCCGCTTTGTTGTAGCTCCACAGGTCAGAAGCCGCCCTCTCACGTGCAAAGAGGACTCCTATCGCTATCTAGCTTTTCTATCCGTCTTGAGCTTATCTTGCTTTTCTGTCCGTCTTGTATCTCATCTTCCTTTCGATCTCCTCTTTGTCCCCGCTTTCCGGACAATCTGCCGTCTTGCTTGTCTTGAAGTGTGGAGATGCTCAGGCCAGTCACTTCCATTCCAAACTTTTTCTGATCCCTGTATGTCATCTTCACCACGTCACGTCGCAACCAGCCCCGTTTGACTGTGGCAAGTCAGCACGCTGCGATTCTGGGGGAGGCTTTTAAACCCTGATTCCCAGGACTTCGTGACCGAAGGGGCGCCAAGGTGGTAGGTCTTGATCATGTAGAGGACGTTGATGACGTCGTTCGCAAAGTCGGGCCCAAGTCAGACGTCCAATTTTAGCTTACCGCGACTCGGCCCAACCGGGAGTGAACGATCCAGCTATTCATCCACGGTCTGATCACAATACCGGTTTCCAGAGACGTCACGTCTACTTTCGCAGGTCTGCCCCCGTTCGGACGTCCGCATTCTGGCGTACGGCGGAGCCTGTGACAGATGAAAAGTTTTCTCTGTCTCTTTCATCACGGTAAACAACTTGGGATGACGTTACTTGCAGGTCGGCCCCACGTCGGACGTTTGCATTCTGGCGTACGGCGACATGGGCCAGGCGGAGGCGGACGGCGCCAAGGACCCCAACGACCAGGAGGAGCCGTCGCTGGACACCATGGCGCGCATGCTGGCGGACCCGTTTGTTTCGGGGGGGTCGAAATGGCAGGGCAAGCAGAGGGGGGAGAGTGGACGACGCGAGAAACGGGGGGTAGA